GGTTATAAGTCCCCTAAATTGGGATTATAAGTATAGTTACCTTGGTTATAACCCTACTTACCAAGTCCCATGATCCTCCTAAACCCTAAACCCTAAACCCTAAACCCTTTAAGTAGTCAAGCTGCCGACTTCCAGGTCCGCCCGAAGGGTTCGCCAGCACGGTCCGGTTTCGGCTTGACGCTTTAGGAAAAGGAGGTCGATGTAAGCTTTAGGAATTATAAGGCTTCGTGGGCTTAGGCTCTTAGTGTGAAGGGGTGTCTGAAATTTCAGACCTCCGAGCAGAAGCGACCGGGAGTTGTTGCTGGGCAGCAAAGACCCAATTTCAGAATAAACTTGAAGCTTAAACTTGAAGCTTCAACGTCTGACCGGCACTCAATCCCAAAAGCTAATTCCGACACGCGATCACCTTAAACTCTCTCAAACCCGAAACCCTAAATCCTGACGTCCTACTCCAGCCCTGAATCCTAGTGGTCGAAATCAAGAACGAAAACTTTTCCGGCACTGAGGTGAGATGCACTCCTGCTGCTAGCAGGAGCCTTCCTCATAGGGTTTAAGCTAGAGGGCTGATAAATGCCATAGCAAGAGGCAAGAGGCCTGCGTTACATTACATAGGATTGACGGTTTTAGGAGTTAGGAGTTCGCGCTGAGGCTGAAGGCTCAGAGTCTAAACCCTAATCTAAGGGCATTTATAATTAGAACATGGTTTTGCGGGCTCCTTATTATAGTTATAATACAATAGACCCCGAAAACCCTATTCTAATTATTAAGGCCCCTACATTAAACCCTAAACCCTCGATGTATTTTGGGATGTGCGGCCTCTCTTAGCATGGGCCCACAGGGGCACCACAAACACCAGCAGGATCTCACCGTTTTCGGCTCGTGTCTATGTGTGGGTCCATGTACTCATATAGTCTAGCTTATACTTTGGCCTGAAAGTACCTATGTAGGGACTACTTTGAAGCCTAAGTACGTACTATCTGGGCACATGAACCCTTAGGGGGTTTAAGCTTTAGGGAAGCATCTGCAGACTCTAGACAGTTACGCAGGTATGGATGGGCTGAAGCGATGCGAGTTGCAACAGTTTGTATCTACATGCACACCGAGAATATCTCAAATCACTTTGCTTTGAGAGTTAAGGTTGGGCCAGTGCATAAAGTCTTGGGAAATCCCTTGCAGCTCGATTGAAAAAGCAACCGTTGCAGTCCATGTCAGATACCGAAGGCCTGTTTTGCTGTATTCATGACCTTCAGGTTGTTGTTGAAGATCTCGAGGCTGCTCGTCTCTAACTCTAGATGGCTTTGTTGTGAACAAGAAGCACCTACGACTATTCTGTTCCAAGTTTCAGCAATCTAAGCTTGCTCCCTGACTGGTCAGTCTTCAGCTCCATGCAGGCTGCGAGTAGCTGAAGCCCGCCTCTGCCGAGCGATGTTGAAAGCAAGGTGGAAGTGGCTGGCTGGTGTGAAGTGGGAACTTGAATCAGGTTAGTGCAAACATCGGGACACTGCAGGTAGTAACGTGATGTCACGGCTCCGTGGTATTACGTGGTAGCTGTACAGGGCAAGGGGTAGATCATACAGCGCAGGCAGGGTTCCGAAGATTGTCCTTTCTTGGCTACGGACCTCCATTGGCGTTAAGGCATGTGTGCCACTATTCACGGGCATGTTTGTAAGCAACAAGGGCCTTGCCTGATACTGAAGCTCGGAGTTATCCAGTTCTTGAAACGCTGGATATGACGCTCGTGGCGGTGTGAAGCCAAAGGTTCGTCGGTGATGTGAGGAGTCTCTCTGAGAAGAAAACCTCGACTATGTTGTGGTTATTGTGCACGCTTTTTGCAAAGCACATCATGGTCATCAGCAAGACGGTACCTCTTCGAGAGCTAAATTCCGCCTTACAAGTCTAACTCTATGGTAAACCTAACCACCCTACGCAAACCCCAAGTTTAGGGCCTCTACGGTAGGCCCGAAAGCAGTCTCGAGTTTGTAAGAAGTATACCCTGTATTTATGAACTTCCCCGAACACCAAAGGTCCCCACGCGACCCTTAAGGCTGTCCGTGTCCAGAAGGCACAAGCCCTGAACCCCAATATAGAATCTTGATTCTTGATGCTCCAGCATACCCCACAACCCCGTTCTAGCCATGAGGGACTCCATAGTATGCCCTGGAAAGCCTTCTAGGACGGAAGGCTTCAAAGAACCATTTATTGAGGCGGGCCCCTTTGAAAGAGCCCGGGAGAGACCCGTCGAGACATCCAGGCATGATTTACGAGGAGTTGCGACTGCCAGAAGTCGGGGCCCGGGTGCGTTTTGTTGGGATTAGGGTTTAGGGTGAGGGTAAGGGTTTGGTTTTGTTGATGGGGATTTGTAATTTTGAGGGTTGTTTGGTGTGTTCTAGGGTTGGTTTGAGGCTAAAGCTTTCCAGGGTCATGTCGCGAATTTCAGTACGGGGCGGTCGTCGAACGGTCAAGAACGGGTGCAAGGTTCCGTAAGGTATATACCTATAACAAGTAGGATATGTTTGCCGGAGCCTTAAATAAGGCAGCCTCCTTGTTGCTGCTGCTGCTGTTGTTGTTGCAGCACTACTTCCGTTGCTGCTGCTGCTGCTGCTGCTGCTGCTGCTGCTGCTGCTGCTGCTGCTGCTGCTGCTGCTGCTGCTGCTGCTGCGATGACCACGACGGCGGCGCCGAATAGTCTGTTCCTAGGGTCCTAGTACATGTAATAGTTCTAGTACTTCTAATACGTGTGCTAGACTTGGAGCAAGCTCTCAAACAGAATTCACTTATCGTATCCTGCCGCCATGTTCAGCCACCCTCACATATAGCTGAATTTGAGATAACGACTCCCGATGGTTTCGACATCCTCACACCTGGACTATAAGCCCTTAGCCTTTAATCGTAAGAAGCACTACACCCTAAACCCTAAACC